TGGTTTGTTGTTTTTTTGTTTTGGTTTGGTTTGGTTTTGTATTTTGGACACTAGCCCTTTATCTGATATGTCATTTGCAAATATCTTCTCCCATCCAGTAGGTTGCCTTTAGTTTTGTTGATAAAGGAAACATTTTATTTTGATATAGTCCCAATAGCTTATATTTGCTCTTATTTCCCTTGCCTCAGGAGACATACCTAGAAAAATGTTGCTATAGCTATTGTCAGAGTAATTGTAATTTTATGGTTTCGGGTCTCACATTTAGGTCCTTTATCCATTTTGAGTTTATTTTTGTGTATGGTGTAAGAGAGTGGTCCAATTTCATTCTTTGGCATGTAGCTGTCCAGATTTTCCAACATCATTTGCCAAAGAGACTCTCTTTTTCTCTTTGCATATTCTTTTCTCCTTTGTAAAAGATGAATGGACCATATAATCATGGGTTTGTTTCTGGGCTCTTTATTCTGTTCTGTTGATCTGTGTGTCTGTTTTTGTACTGGTACCATACTGTTTTGATTACTGTAGCTTTGTAGTATAGCTTGAAATCTGGGCTTATGATACCTCCAGTTTTCTTCTTCCTTTTCAAGATTTCTTCACTATTTGGGGTCTTCTGTGGTTCCATACACATTTTAGGATTATCTGTTCTAGTACTGTGAAAAATGCTGTTGGTTTTTGGATAGGGATTACATTAAATCTGTAGATTGCTTGGGGTAACATGGCCATTTTAACAGTATTTACTCTTTAATTCATGAGCATAGAATATCTTTTCATTTATGTTGTCTTCAGTTTCTTTCATCAGTGTTTCATAGTTTTCAGAGTACAGGTTTTCACCTCCTCAGTTAAGTTACTCCTAGATATTTTATTCTCTTTGCTGCAATTGCAAATGGGATTGTTTTCTTAATTTCTCTTTCTTCTACTTCATTATTTAGCATGTAGGAACCAACAGATGTCTGTATATTGATTTTGTATCCTGTGACCTTATGGAATTCATTTATCAGTTTTAATAGTTTTTTGGTGGTGTCTTTAGGGTTTTTATATATAATATCATGTCATCTGCAAATAGTGAAAATTTTACTTTTTCCTTACCAATTTGGATGCCTTTTATTTCTTTCTCTTTTCTGATTACTGTGGTTAGGGCTTTCAGTACTACGCTGAATGAAAGTGGTGAGAATTGACATCCATATCTTGCTCCTGACCTTACGGGAAAGGATCTCAGTTTTTCACCATTGAAAATGATGTTAGCTGTGGGTTTTTCTTGGATAGCCTTTATTATGTTGAGTTGTGCTCCCTCTAAACCAACTTTGTTGAGGGTTTTCATCATAAATGGATGTTGTAATTTGTCAGATGCTTTTTTCTGCATCTATTGAAATGGTCATATGGTTTTTACCCTTTCTTTTGTTGATGTGATGTATCATGCTGATTGCTATGCAAATATTGAGCCATCTTTGCATCCCAAGGATAAATCCCACTTGATCATGATGAATGATTTTTTTAGTGGATTCAGTTTGCTAACATTTTGTTGAGGATTTTTGCATCCATGTTTATCAGAGGTGTTGTCTTGTAGCTCTCTTTTTCTGTAGGGTCTTTATCTTGTTTTGGTATCAGGATACTGCTGACCTCAGAACAAATTTGGAAATTTCCCTCCCTCTTCTATTTTTTGGAATAATTTGAGAAGAATAGGTATTAACACTTCCGTAAATGTTTGGTAGAATATACCTGTGAACCCAACTGGTTTTGGACTTGTTTGTTCGGAGTTTTTGTTATTGTTTTTTTTTTTTTTTTTTAATTACTGATTCAATTTAATTGCTGGTAATCGGTCTGTTCAAATTTTCTATTTCTTCCTGATTCCATTTGGAAGGTTGTATATTTCTAGGAATTTATTCATTTCTTCCAAGTTTTCCAATTTATTGGTATATAGTTTTACATCATATTTTCTTATAATCCTTTTTATTTCTGTGGTATCAGTTGTTATTTCTTTTCTGTTTCTGATTTTGTTTGGGTCCTCTCTCTCTCTCTCTTTTTTCCTCTGATAAGTTTCGCTAAAGGTTTATCAATTTTATAGATTTTCCAAGAAGCAACTCCTTATTTCATTGATCTGTTCTATCATTGTTTAGTTTCTATTTCATTTTTTTCTCCTCTAATCTTTATTCCTTTATTCTAATCTTTATTCCTTCTTTCTTTGGTTAGTTTTATTTGTTTTTTTTTTTTTTTTCTTTTTCTAGCTCTTTTTGGTTTAGGTTAGATTATTCATTTGAGATTTTCCCTTGCTTTTTGAGGAAGGCCTGCGTTGCTATAAACTTCCCTCTTAGGATAGCTTTTGCTCTGACCTGAAGATTTTGAACCTCAAGTTTTCATTTTCCTTTGTCTCCATATATTTTTTTATTTCCTCTTTGATTTCTTGGTTGACTCATTCATCATTTAGTAGCATGTATTTGTGTTCTTTCCACATTTTTTCATATAGTTTATTTCTAGTTTCAAACTTGCTCCTTAATCCTTTTATGGGCCCTCCACAATTTATACGCATCCTACTTCCTTTTTGCATTTTAGTGGGCTCAAAATATAAAACTCCTTAGGTATTCAAAATTGCTATTTTGGGTTGCTCTTTGAAATAATACTTCATTCACCTCATTTGTATTAGTCTGGTGGCACAGGGCAAATCATGATCATTCAACAAGTGACAGTTGGATTCAGCTTAATTGGACACCAAGCTTAGAACCTAGTAAAGCTGCTGGCACATAATAAGTATATGATACCTATTGTTAAATTAATCGGTTGAATGGTATTGCATTGAATATCCTGAAAAACGGCTGCCTTGATCTGCTCATGTGTGTTTCCAAAAGGCCTCTTTTCTCTTATTCCTGACCTTAAATAATACAATTATTGTTGCTTATCCTTTCTTAATTCCCTTACCTCTTTGACCCTGACAATACAGAATTTGCTTTTATTCTTTCATTTCTTAAAATGGTTTCTTCTCTAATTGATTTTCCTTTTTCAAAGCATCTGTATTCTGCATAAGTAAATTTTTTGTTATACTATGTAACTATACCTCTGGGATCTATACAAATGGAATGTCTCCTTATACAATATAGTGTCCAGCTACATTTGTTTATTCACGTGAGGATTTCTTTCCTATATTGTAATACATCCCACCTCTCACTGACATCTTAAAAGGAAACAACAGCTTTTCCCTCACTCATATTCATTTCTCTTGTATTGTTATTTTCTCCCTTTCCAAACAAAAATCATGTACTGCTGCCAAACATATTATTTAGATTCTTATTTCAACTTTTTACTTTATATATTATGACATACTTCATGTCCTTTCCAAAAAATTATTTTTCTCATTTTTAGAAGAAATAAGATCATTACAGACAATATAAAAAATAAAGAAAAATATATAGATGCAAATTAAAATCAACTCTGAATATCAAATTGCCTGCCATCCAGAGATTTTCTGCTTTTTCCTATGTATATATGTATATATTTTTCTAAACAAAGTTAAGATCATACTAATATATACTACTTTATTATTTTTTTCAAATTTACTGTTATAACATCAATGCTTTCATGTTGTTAAATACTCTTCAAAATGTGATTTTTTTCAGTGTGAAATATGCCTTTAACTAATATCTTTTTTGGAATTTGGAGACATTTTATTTGTGTCTATTTTTTCATTGTTATAAATTATATCAGGACTAACATTTTGTGCATAAACTATTGTCTGTCTCTGATTATTTTCTTACACACCTAAGAGTGAAACTAAGTAAAAATTTTAATAAATTTGATATATATTTATATTTATAGAAATATAATTTATATATTTATAAATTTGATATATATTGCCATATTATCCCCCTAAGGACTATCATTTCTATATTTTCCTATTCATAATTATAGTTCCCTCCGTTGGGGGGTTAAAAGTAGATAGGCATCATTTCAAGCTTATTGTTAATAGCCGATATGATGAGCCAAGACACTGCTATTCATTTCACCCAGTTTGTTAATTATTCCATAATTTGCCCCCTTGCTAATTTATTTCTTCATCTCACTCATCCAACAGTGATCACTCATCAATCCAATGTTACAGTGTCACCGCATTCTCAAATCAGTGCTAGGTGCCAGGGGTACTGAAGGTACTAAGCCATGTCCTTGCCCTTGGTGGCTACCCTTAGTGGCTGATCAGAGGTGGGTACCATGAGGATGCATTCCTGTTCATATTTTTGGAGAAAAGTACATTTCAAAAATATTTCTGTAATATTAGTGATCATCTTCTTACATTACAGATCTTACATTTCCCAGGCATACACATTATGTAGCAGAAACCTTACCTTTATCTAGAGTCCTTTCACCTTTTACCGGTATGATAAGCCTAAAACTCATTCCTTTAATGAGCAATGAATTCCACACCTAGTATTCTCTTTTGTTACTGTAATATGCCCTCATTATGTATGAACCGTGTGTGTGTGTGTGTGTGTGTGTGTGTGTGTGTGTGGCAAAACATGGCAATTGAACAGTGGACACTTCTAAGAAAGGACAATAAAATTATTAATTGTGTTCATTTTTTTAATTTTTTAGTGCTTTCTTTCTTAAAAGATTTATTTATTTATTTTAGAGAGAGAACGTGGACAGGGGGAGGAGCAGAGGGAGGGGGAGACAGGGAATCTTAAGCAGACTCCCCACTGAGTACAGAGCCCAACCCAGGGTTCGATCTTATGCCCCTGAGGTCATGACCTGAGCTGAAATCAAGAGTTGGACGCTTAACTGACTAAGTGACCCAGGTGCCCCTGGTTTTAGTGATTTTTAAACTTTCTGCTATAAAACTGTATATGATCTATAATCAGGAAAAAATGCATTTGCAAATTGAAGTTTGTTTACTCAGCTGTAGCTTTTATGATGTATGGAGTGCTTACTAACCTCCTATATGCCTGGATACATATGTGATAGATCAATTTGTTATGCTGGCTTGATGTCTAATTTTTTCCATTTAAATCATGTTTTTTCAGTGTTCTCTATGGAAATAAAATCACAGAACTCCCAAAAAGTTTATTCGAAGGACTGTTTTCCTTACAGTTACTGTAAGTATTTGGTGGTTTCTGATCCGTTGAACCAAGCATTGTATTTTAGTCAGTGTACCTCTCTTGGTTTCATGGAGACTTCAAAAAGACTCAACCCCAAATGACATAGTTTAATGAGATGGAAAAGATTAGTCTGGTGCAACTAATACTGACGACTGTTATTTATTTGAAGACACAGCACTTTGAAGTTGTTTCAAAACCTTTCTGTCCACCCTGTCACAAATGTAGGCTTCCTGGCTACTCTGTCATTAAAAGCTCGTGCTGTTCCTGCCCTTTGTGAAACCCTCTGTTTTGATTTAACAATAGTTGGGAAGGAGAGTGACGTACTGATAGGTTTATCCATGTTTGTCCAAAGCAGCCACAGGAGGGACAAGGCTGGGATACTGTGCCCCGAACCCAGAGGTGGTTGCCGAGGGCCAGAACACAGCAGGAGCACTTCAACTCAGAAAATAATCTGTCAATGCCTGGCCTGTGTCTTTTAAAAACCATTCTGCTTAGACAGTAGCTACCACTCCTTTGTCTCAAAAGAAGAACATACTATACACATATATATAAAAACAGAACCTGACCACAAGTATTTTAGTGACCGCTCATATGAAAAGGAAATTGGAAAAAAAAATATGTTAGTCTTAGATCATCAAATTCTCTTCACATCACCAAACATACACAGAGTTCCTCATTTGGGGCTGCTGTAGATACAAAGTTGAGTGTGATATACTGTCCTCTCTCACCTAGTTCATAGTCAGTCTACCTTAAAATTCTCAAGTTTCAAATGTTATTTTCTCTTTTGGTGTATACATTTCTTGGTGTTGGGGTTTCTATCATCGATTTGGCAAAAACTTACTCCTAATCCCACAGATTTCCCAAATGTATATCTTTTTTCCTTACTGGATAAATGTACGTTATAATTATACCCTAGTATTCATGTTTTAAATTTTCATCATTATCCAGAAATGTACTTAAATCACAACCCAGTTCTCATACACAACACACACAGATGCACACAAATGAAGCAAATTGCTAACAAGACGATATTGACCCTTACTATGTATAATACTCTTCATTTTACTGCATTCTCTGTCTCTCTCTGATCTCTCTCTTTCTATATCTTCAGTATTGTACAACCCAATAAATTGATTTTACAACAGACCAGTAAGTTATGAAAAATACTGATTCTTATGACCTAATGTCTTTATTTGGGTTTCAGATTATTTTTTAACTCTTGAGGTAAGCTCAGCAAATATTGTTTCTGATATTTAATAGAATGACTATACGTTATACACATTATAGGTAGAGCCAGATGCTATAGGCCAGTAAGGCCTGTGTGTTATTTGCGTCTCTGTCATTCTTCTCCATTCTCCTAGCACTATTATCCTTGCCATTTACTTGCAATCTCTTGCTATCACTGGCCTGTCTAGTACTAACATTTAAGTAGCACCTTCTTTTTCCTTCCACACATACTTATTGGTGACTGGTGTAACAACCAGGTTAATAAACCATGGGATCTGTATGCAGGTAAACCTTACTTAAAACGCTACCTTTGTCCCTCAGCCTAATATTTGATCTCTAGATTAAGGCCTATTCCTAAACCTGTCAGGGCTAAAGCAACACAATTGTCTCTTTCTGGCTAGCTAAGAACTTGGCTAAGCATCTTAGATTTGCTTGAACAGATGAGGTACTGGGGAAAAGAAGTAGGTTCATGCAAGAAGCAAAGGAAAGTAGAGCATGCAACACTTTTTCCCCTACTTTGCAGACCACATCATTTAAAGTAAGTACAAAAATGCTCAAAACAGCACCTTCTTCAATTGTCTTCAGTGCTCCCCGCTTTTTCCTTCTCCTTACTTCTGCTCTCGGCCTCCGTCAGCTGACAGATTAGGGAACATTGTCAGTGTGATCTGTGTTGTGGCGCAGAATGGAGAAATGGTATTACCAGTCTATACCTGAAACCAGTTCCTAAGCTTTTACGAAACTATTTTGAGGATCGCAGAGAAAGCCAAAATGTCAAGTCCTAAAGGGAGGTTAAAAAAAAAAGAGAAAAGAATTACCTCGAGGAAGTCACAGCTTTGCATGTGTGTGGATACCTTAAAAAAAGCCAGTAAAGCAGAAGAAATACCCTATGTTAATTAAAAGTAGAGATTCTTGGTGGCCAAAAAGAAAAACATTTTTCAGTATGTTGAATAAGAAGGCATACACACCTAAACAACAGAGCAGGTATTTTTTGAGGTACTATTTGTTCAAGCCTTAAGTATCAAAGCAGTGAAGCAAATGCTAATAGAGAAGAAAGTATCAGAAAATGTTCTCTGCCCACGGAGAGCACTAATCCACCTTTGGGCAAACATGTAGGCTTATAGAAAGGAGGTGTGAAGATTAAGTAGCACTGAATAACTTCCTTGGGGACCTAGAGGAAGAAATACTTGACTTGGGTGGAAGCTACTGGAAAAGGTGAGCTTCCCGCGCAGCCATGATGGGACAGGGCATTAAAGAAGGTAGAGGGCAGGGCAAGTGTATTCCCAAAGGGTGTCCAACATGCATAAAAGCTCAGACATGGTCCCATATAACCTACAAGAATGGCATTTGCCAAAGTATGTTCTGTAAACCACAGTTCCATAGAATATTGAAGTGGATTATTATAGCATGTTGGAAAAAAAAATGGGTTTCTGGCATATTTTGTTAAGCAAAGTTAAATGAAACTCCTATAATGCAGGACCAGGGCCTTTAATAGGGTTATGAACTGTGTCACTCTCCAAGAGGATCCTAAAGCATTCATTCAACAACATATTTATGGAGCACCTTGTATGTGCTAGGCACAAAAGAAAATGCCTGTCTTGAGGAAACAGAAAGGACAGCAATAACGTAATAAATAAACCATATGCAACGGAGAGAAATATGTATTTAAGAAAATAGAAGAAATAAGCAGATCATAACAAAGAAATCGAGTGTGCTAGAAGGTGAGGTGGGGCAAGCACAGGTGACTGTATTGAAGAGAGAGGTCAGGGTAGGCTGAATTGAGAAGATAAGATTGCAACAGACTCAAAGAAGCGGAAGAGTCAGACAGCAGGGAAGAAAACATTCGAAGGAGAGACCCCTGATGAGGAGACATGTGGCTGGAGCCAAAGCATCCAGGGGAGAGAACTTGGAGGTCATGGAGTTCAGAAAGGGGTGCTAATGGTCCTACTGTGTGTTGAGGCAATTTGTCAGGACGTTGGCTTCAGTCAGAACTATTTGAGAGTTGCTGCCTGGCTTTGAGAGAAAGTGATCTGCATTTTAAAAGGCTCACTCTAGCTTCAGTTTTGAAAATTGCCTGAACTTCTTCTCAGAGCAGCTAGAGAGACTAATGTTCTATGACCTTTTTTTATGGTGTCCTTGACAGATGTTAGGTCTCACCCACCTTTGTCCACTCTTACCTCTTCATCTTCCAGAGGATATGTGGAATAATTTTTATTGAATAAATGTGTAAGTACCACTAGATGTAGACATTCATTAAACCACATGACCCTTGCTTTATCTGGCATATCTTCCACCTGTGATACCTAAATTATTCCAGTTAAAATGTTAGTACTGAGGTTCAGAGAAATGTTTTTTCTTGCTTTCTTGTATTTCTCAAGAAGGACAGAATCTTGAAGGTGGGTTAACGAGATGCTGCACTTTAATTCTACAACTATTTGATCAAACAGATTATTGAATGCCAACAAGATAAACTGCCTTCGGGTAGATGCTTTTCAGGATCTGCACAACTTGAACCTTCTCTCCTTGTATGACAACAAGCTTCAGACCATTGCCAAGGGGACTTTTTCACCTCTCCGGGCCATTCAAACCATGTATGTATATATGGCTTGGATCCAATACGATGACTGCTGTCTTCACTGTGAATTTGAGAGTTGAGTTCATTGCAAGTCATGTATAAAAGTATTCTGTCTGTGTTTCTGAAAGGCATTTGGCCCAGAACCCCTTTATTTGTGATTGCCATCTCAAGTGGCTGGCGGATTATCTCCATACCAACCCCATTGAGACCAGTGGTGCCCGCTGCACCAGCCCCCGGCGTCTGGCAAACAAAAGAATCGGACAAATCAAAAGCAAGAAATTCCGTTGTTCAGGTAATTTCTTACTTCATGTGAGATACTTCGCCTGTGTTACCAAAACAGTGGTTATGGAGACCTAGAGACAGCTGGTCTTCAGATGAATTACCAAACATTGTAGAATATACTTCTTTTTCTTCTGTCTAGTTACAAAATAAAGAGAGCCATAGATACCATTCATATACCACTCGTATATGTAATATTTTTAACACTATATCCAACATAACAAATAGGCTACCAGCCACCAGAAAAAGACGCCTGGATACTTCATACTGTATTTTTAGGGTTCAACCTAAACAGGGGCCTTTTAGCAAGCTCAGAATCCTTTTTATGTCTGTTAAGTCTCATGTCTGTTGTATTATTCTCCATTGAGAAACTTAAGGTAATAAATCATGTTCTCATTTCTTCAGAAAGTGAATTGAGACTTGGTAGTGTGATTTGCTCTGGCTCGGAAGTAGGGGGGGGAATTTTTTCCCGATCCCTTGCTCCCATGCTTCGCACACTAAATGTGTTTACTTACTTTTCACCCTCTTATTTTAAATAGGGATGTGAGGATAATTTTTTTTTCTACCAAAAGGCCATCTTTTAGCATTTTGGGAGTAGTGTATATAAAAAGCCAAATATAGATCCATGGTGTTACTATTATATAAAAGGCTTACTTTATTGAAATTTACTATTTGCTTTGGTCTCATCTCTTCTATGTTCTTATGCTAAAATATATTTTGTATGTTTTGAGTAGTATGCTGTCTAACCATTCCCAGGGTATTTCACATTCGGCAGTTAATTCATACTAAAAAGCTAATATCAAAACAAAGCTGTTTATTGTCCATGGTCCTAGAGACATTTACTACTCACTATACATTATGATACTTCAGCTACTGCTGTGAATATAATTTACTTAATTATCTATAGTACCTTTAGTCCCTTCTTAATCTAATATAACTCATATCTCTGCTTGCTGACATTCAGGTGCATCTTCTATTTTTTTTTCTCTTTTTTTTTATTTAGCTAAAGAACAGTATTTCATTCCAGGTAGGTTTTGCTCGGTAGTAGGACTAATGGCAGACACCCTTTTCTCACCTTATAAAATATAGCTTCTGAAACTTTGATATGCATGCGTTTGAAAGTACAGTGGGTACTCTGTAGATAGATTGACTTCTGCCTAGATCACTTGTAGCTGTTTCCTGAAAACCTGACCTTTGCATGCAGCTTCTGATGTTAGAAATATGTATTATTAAACCCCCATCTTTTTTTTCCTCTCTCACTTTGGCACATTATCTAAAATTTCTCACAGTAGCTAAAATATTTGAACCTATAGCCTTCTACTTAAATCATTTTCTCTCCTTATGTTGTATATCTGATCTGTCAACCTGTTTTTAAAATATAGCTTATTGAGCTGGTTTTAAAGACAGAGACCTTTCTGTTGTCAAAGAGCTAGTTCTATATGAAATCAGTTAAAAACACATAGAATTCTTTTGTTGACCATGAAATTCACTTTTTTAACATAATTCTTTGTACTAAAAAAGTGCCCCCTTTTCACTTTATTTTGCTTTATCATCGTTTCACTTTTTACATAAAAAAGCAACTTCCTGCTTGTTGACGTGCAATTATACATTGTGAGTCAACGTTGTTACAGACCCGGAGTGACAGAGTAACTCCACGGAAACAATACTGACAGACATCCTGAAAGCCTCAGAAGTTCCAGGGCACTAAATGTCTTGAATAATTTAAGCAGATGAATAAAATGTTTTTTAGAAAAGTAATTGAAATGTTTTACCACTACAATCTTAACACTCTCAAGGCTGATGATTCTGGAACTAGCTTTTTGAAACATGTTTACTTATTTTTTCCTTGCCTGCCAATTGTGCAAAATGCCTCTTGACTTGTTTGTTTTAAACCATTATATAAAAGTATATGTTAGTAATTGATTGGCTACATTTACCATCTCCTGGGGATATCCTAGGATATCATATATTTTAACAGCTACCAATAAGAAGATGTTCTATACGGTGTTAGTTTGCAAAAACCTTACTGATTTTTTAAAGAAGAGTTCCGGGTTCGGTCTTTATTTTAAGGAGATATGTGTTATTTGCCATTATTGAATTATAATTTGAATAATTTTATGCGTATAACAGATTTTGTTTTACTTCTTATTTTGAGCTTGAATGATCAATAATATTTATATATTACACAAGCTGCATAGGAAGTAACATGTTGAATAGAACAGTTGATTGGCCTTCATAGGGAATCTTTAAAATTCATTATCTTTACCTCACTATTAAGCAGAAAGTCATCTGATAGCCATTACTTAGCCCGGAAAAAAGCCATATTCTAAACACCACAACACCTGTAGGATAAAACTTGAATATTAGTAAAATTTTCAAATTGTGGCAGTTAAGAGAACTGTTACCAAATTATTCAATCTATTACATTTAAATATACTTTATTAATAATTTATAAATTAATATTTCTGATTCATAAATTAAAAATCCAATGTCCAGTTGTTTTCATAAATTCTGATACAGTTTTGCCTATTTATTGACAGCAGTCAAAATAGGCTTTTTTGGAAATACATTGTATATGTGATATCATGGCTTAATTGTCAGTAATTTATGATCATTCAGTTTACATTAAAGCAATAGCAATAGAAGTCAGGACTTGGAAGAATTCTTTGGTCTTCTCTCCTTTTTTTCCCTAGATTATATTAAAATTTTAGCTTATCTATTGAGTCTCCATAAGAGAAACATCATTGTCATTTCATTGAATGCAGACTATTTTAAATATAAGATACCTAATGTACTTGTCATTTAGCCCTTTGTTCCCAGTATTTCTTCATTTCACTTTTAAAATGAAAGCGACAGGACAACAGGAAAACAGTTCCTTAGTAAATGCCCTGGCATTAATTGCCAAATCTAATGAGACGATCATATTCAGCTTTGCAATTGTATGAGGTTGATTTCATTTCCACTAAGTGACACTATTTATAAGTTGGAAAGGTCATTAAAAAGCATGTAAGCCACCACATAAGGCTTAATCCAGATGTATTTGTTTTTGAAGACCTCCGTGATTTGTTTTTCACTTACGTTTGCATGTTTACTTGCCTACTACCATTCTATATGGCATTCTAGATATTATAGTAATAACTCAACAGAAAATCTATCTTGCAGAGAGCTCATCATTTTAAAGGAATCGACAAGAACTTAATTTGTGCTGTGCATCTCATATGCCATTGCTTTTCCTGTAAGAGCACTGTGCTTCAAAAAAGTACCACAAACGTTTGCAAAGCATGACGATGGCTGTCATACTATGCCATCCCCCTATAATTGCCATAGTAAGGAAAGAAGGAAGAGACCTTCGGTAGTTTTATATATGTGTTTAATCATCTTAATTGGGATTACTCTTTCTTTCCTCCTTGGTGATTTTTACTTTTGCAGGAATTCACCATTTTGGCTGTAAGTAAAAGTGTCTGATCTGAAACATAATGTCCTCCCTTTTCAATCCTGATGTACCTTCTTCTAGTCTCGGTCTTTTGCGCCTTTTTTTTTTTTTTTTTTTTTCAAGAAGAAACTACAGATCTTTTGAGTTTCTCTGTTGTCCTTGTAGCTCACCTTCAACTTCTTCCTGGATGTTGTTCCCGAAAGCTGTTGTTTCCATTCTGCAGTTCTGAGGAACAGTGGAGGCACCTTTCAGTGTAGCCCCTTCTTTGTGTTTCCAGGAAATCTTCGGTAGTAATACTCTTACTATGGTCATAAACATTCTGCGGGAAGAATGCATGTCATGTAAACAGTATTACGTTTCCAGAACGTCTGTAGCTTTTTCTCCTGCTTCCCTTCATCTTTCCTCTCGGTCTTACCCTTGGCCTAGTGGATGGTGTAGTGATTATGTCGCGAGATTTTCTGTTGTGCTTGATCTAACCATGTGGTTGCCAGGTATGAGTAAAACATGGTTCCGTCAAGCACCATGGAACGTCACGCAGCTTTCTACAGCATGACAAGCTGCTGAGGCTTAAATCAGGATTTACTTGTCTCCTTTTATAAAATCAAAATGAAAAAAGAGGGCTTTTTTAGGCGTTTCCGAAGATTATGTGAGAGGGAGAGAATAATATAAGACCATAGAAAAATTAAAAACCTGAGTACATCTATTTGCCTTGAAAGCCCTAATTTAAAATGATATATAGGAATATGTTTCTTACTGGATACATTTTAAATTCCTGACTCAGAGAAAAAAATAAACTCTGTAACAATTAATAGCCATTGTATGATTAGCTGTCAACTAGGCTAGAATGGCTCATAACTGGATCAGCAGAAAGTACAGCTGTGAAAAGCTCATCTCTATTAATGTTTTCCTGTCCTGTGAATCTGGTTACTCTTTTTTCCAGCAAATTCCAAGCCCTTGTTTTAACCCTCTCCTGACATCCATTGACCAAAAATTCCCCAAGTTGTCTCCCTGCTGCATAATCTATAGTTATCTTACTATTTTTCTTCCTACAAATTAACAACTGTTCTAAACTTTAGACTCAGTATCTTGTTTTTTTTTCCCCTTGAATCCTCAATAGGCACAGAAGATTATCGATCAAAATTAAGTGGGGACTGCTTTGCAGATTTGGCTTGCCCTGAAAAGTGCCGCTGTGAAGGAACCACAGTAGATTGCTCCAATCAAAAACTCATCAAAATCCCAGACCACATTCCCCAGTATACTGCAGAGCTGTGAGTTCATCGCCCAACAAAATCCGGGTTGGGAGTGAGGGAATGAAAACAGCGTAGCGTTGCAATTTTTTTCTTTCCCTTTTATTTTCAAGAATTACATTGATTTTAATTAACGCACATGGCCATAACTCTTCTTTGTACAAAGATATATTAGAGGCTATCTTACTTCATCTTTCTGATCCAAGACATGACTACAGAAATTAATTTACCTCTCAAAAAGTCAGTTAGTTCTTAATGCTAATAATAAGAACATTCCTTTGATATTTGTTTCTTGGGTGTTATTTATGCCTGCACCCATTTCTAAACATGTAATAGATTTTTAAGGTATACAGTCTTTTGCAGCAACTACAAAAAGTAGTTGGAGAGTCACCATTTTGAATCTCTGTTAATTATGAATTCAGTCAGAGAGCCTTTATTGGCTTTATTATCTCACTAACTCAAAGGTGGAAGGATTCTGTGATTATGGAGTATTAAAGCACAGAGGATAGTTTTTCCCTGAACAATGGATAGCATAGGAAGAGCTGGAAGAACGACAAGATCAGGTTTCTATTTATAACCCTACCTCAAGCCTAGCACATACTAGGTGCTAAAATATGTTTGTTGAATCATCTATAGATTCTATGCCAAGTATGGTTTGCCTTTAGTGATTTTATTTATAAAAGTCATGCTAGTGTTCTAAAAATTCAAGAGAAATTTGGTGAAATCTCATTGTTTTGTGAACATCTTAGCAACGTTTATATATAGCACCATCTGGTATTTGCTATTAACTGCTTTGCAAAGTTGGTTGTCCTTTTATGCTTGTATAATCCTTTTGTCTTCAACTAACTTGTAACTCCTTGATGACAGGGATTGTGTTTTATAGTTTAGCTCTCACTGTGCCTAAACTCATGCCTGTCACTTAATGCATCTTAAATAATTTAAATAATTAAAAATAATGTAATGCTAGGGTGCTTTGGTGGCTCAGTGTGTTAGGCCTCTGCCTTCAGCTCAGGTAATGATCTCAGGGTTCTGGAATCGAGCCCCACATCGGGCTCTCTGCTCAGCAGGGAGCCTGCTTCCCTCTCTCTCTCTGCCTGACTCTCTGCCTACTTGAGATCTCTCTCTGTCAAAAAAACAAATAAAATCTTTAAAAAAATAACAATAAAATAAAATAATAAAAATAATAAAAATAATGTAATGCTTTCAAAGAGATGACAGAAACTACCCTGTGGCTATAGTGATACTTATTATTATTCCTGTTAGTTTTTTAATCTATTTCAAAGCTTCAGGATTTTTTGAAATGTGTGGAGACCATTCAGACAGTAAAAGGCCTGAACTCTATTGCTATGGTCTTGTAAGGAGTTGTATATATTTCTATTACTATCACAAATAATATTTCAATTTCTATTTTCCAGCATGATAACAGCTTAAGTAGGCTTACCTGACATTTAAGAATTATAGCATAGCATCTAATTTAGTAATTAGGAAAGTTTGTGTGCTTTTTAAGAAATTAAGAATTTTGTAAATTATACATTTAAAAATGAATACTGGGAAGAAAATATTTATGTATCATATATCTAATAGGGTACTTATATCCAGAATATATAAAGAGTTATTACAACTCAGCAATAAAGGTGTTCATTACCTAGTCAAAAAGTGTGCAAATTATTTGCATGTACATTTCTCCAAAGAAGACATACAAATGACCAATAAGGAAATGCGCTTATTATCATCAAGCTAAAAAATGGTTAGTATCATCAAGCATTAGAGAACCCTAAATCAAAACTACAGTGAGGTAACACATTCCCTAGAAGGGCCACAAAAACAAAACAATAATTGGACCCCTCCTACATTGCTGGGGGAATATAAAAATGACACACCTTTGGAAAACAGTTTGCTTATTCTTCAAATTGTTAAGTATAATTTTACCTTGTAATCCAGCAATTTTACACCAGTATAAATATCTAAAGGAATTGAAAACATATATTCACACAAAAACTTGTATGTACACCAGTGTTGGCAGCAGCATTGTTCATGATAATCAAGAAGTGGAAACAACTCAAATACCTATTCCCTGATAGATAAATGAACCAAATTGGTATATCCATACTATGGAATATTACTTGGCCATAAAAGGAATGAGGTACTGATGTATGCTAAACATGGACAGGTCCTGTAAACATTAAGTAAAGTGAAAAAATCTAGGCATACAAAGACACATTTTTTATCACTTCACTTATATGAAATGTCCAGAATAGAAAAATCCATAGAGACAGAAAGTAAATTGGTGGTTGCCAAGGACTGAGGCAGGGAGGGAAACAAATAGAAAATGATTTCTGATGGGTATGAGATTTTTCTTTTGGGTGATGAATATGTCCTAAAATTGGGTAGCAAAGATAGTTGCACAATTTTGTGAATACGCTAAAACCACTAGATTGCACTCTGTAAAAGGGTGAATTTTATGGCATATAAACTGTGTATCATAAAAGCTGTTAGTAAAAAATGTATGGAGCAAGTGATTAGGAAAAAATGGTCCAAAATGCTTTCTGGGGTAAAAATAGTTTTGAGCAAGGTTTGAGAAACTTTGTTCTACAGATTTCTGAATGAGAGATCTGGTTTTGAATTTTGGTTACTGGTTTTCTTTACTGTGTGCTTCTTAATATTTTGCTCATTAAAATTTGAGTGAAATGGGGAAAAATCAGTACTTTCACAGACTTTCTGTGACATGTATTCTATGTTTTACTTTAGAATAATCATGAAATGATCTTACATTTTTGTACAAGAAATTAAACTTAATCCCTTCCTGGCTGTTGGTGATTGAAACTTTTGTTTCTTTTTTTCTGAGGCGTCTCAATAATAATGAATTCACGGTGTTGGAAGCTACAGGAATTTTCAAGAAACTTCCACAGTTACGTAAAATGTAAGCCATGCATTAGCCACCTTTTAAAATCTCTTTGGTGTTTTGCTGTGTTTTTCAAAGCCCTGTGCAGTCTTATTCAGATTTCTTTGGAAATTGGAAACTATAAAAAATCTGGAGAAATTTCCCTGTAGTGGATACCTGTGACATAAATTTAGGGTAATTTCTGAGAGGAGCCTGAGTAACCACTTCTTTTCTATGTATTCAAGGATTCCAACCACATTTTTTGTAGCAGAGCCCTGGTGTCTTACTTTAATTCAGACAGCTGGTTTGTTATGCGGCCACAGCAGGGATTCGGCAATCTAAGCTCATTAGAAATGGGTTCAGTAGTGTTTTGTAACTTCCTTTACTGTTCCCTAAACCACACTGTTATATCTCTTTCAGCACATTCATGTCAACTATTTGACTTTTTGCTTCATTAAACTTTCATTAGAAGATAGTCAAAATTAATGATTGGTAAACTGACTTGATAGCTCATCTGTATTACTACATATCCACAACTCATATTTTAAAATAAGTTTATAAACTCAGCAGTTCCAACAGCAGTCATGCAGTATTCCTGTTCCCTGAGGAGGAGGGAGGGACAGAACAGAGGTCAGGAGTATCAGGCCAATGGAACAACCTTCATACAAGAGGAAATATAAAAAGGAGAAAAGGAGGGTTGCTCTGTAATATCTGTTCTTGTCTATGTGTAAATGACCCTCGGTCACATTGATTGCACACAGCAGAGCAGATTATGTCCTGTGCACTTGACCCCCATATCATACCGCCTCCCAAAGAGTTTCTTGCTGTTTGATTGTTCTCTTTTTCACTGACATTGATTGCTCTTTCATTTTATTCATACCTTTCAATTCAGCACATATTTATGGAGGAACTACTCCATGCAATGCTCTGGGAGGAATAAAAGGATAAATAAAAATGACCCTGGTTTGGAGGGCATTCCTTATCTTGGAGTGAAAAGTGAGAAAGAGAAAGATAGAACCTATAGGAAGCTGTTACCGCACCTGGATATTTTTGCCCTTTGGGCAAGCAATGTTGTGTTTTGTATCACCCAAAATATGGGTTGTTTTGACACAGTGAGAGGTTTGACTGGGAATAAACCCATATTCAGATACATTTCTGATGCGAGCTAAATCCTCACACATTTAACCCATCCATCTTCTCTCTACACAATAGCCTTCTTTTAGTCATTAATTAATTTAATAGTTTTTATCAGGGACACTTACTTTAAAAGTTCCTTATTAAGCTTCGTGTTGAACATTAAAGTTTAAACAACTCAATACCTGACCTCAAGAATTTTATACTCCTGGGGACCCTTGCATACAATTTGACATTGACTGGGCTGGTGTTTTTCACTGCTGACATTGTCCCTCAGAACTATCATCAGTTTGACTTGATGGAATAGGAAGTGATGTCTTTTTAGAGCCTTGGGTGTGGTGGGCAGCCAAGAGCTTGGAAATCATGAAAAACCTTGTTCACTAGAAGAAAATAATCAAGCATGTTGTCTCAGTGTCCTCTTTGTTAGAAAGAAATAGCTTAAAGTCTTGTTTCAACAATTTTTTTTCTTATTTAGAAACTTTAGCAACAATAAGATTACAGACATTGAAGAAGGAGCATTTGAAGGAGCGTCTGGTGTCAATGAAATACTCCTCACAAGTAATCGTTTGGAAAATGTTCAGCATAAGATGTTCAAGGGATTAGAAAGCCTGAAAACTTTGTAAGTATTCTTATCTGCATAGTGACTCTTTTACCACAGCGTTGTAGTTCACTGGTCATTATAATTCCAGGCTAGGGAATTGTGCAGACTTCCTCTCACCCTCCCATCTCTTTCTCTGTCTCTCACAAACACGCAAGCACAAAACACATGCACACACACACACCTTTTGTGCATCTAAACATTGCCTTACTCAAATACCCTTGACTTCAGTATGTTGCTTACCAAAGATCAAGAATGTCTCCTGGCTGCTGATTCCTCAACAAACAGATTACCCTTGTTCCAATGCTTGTAGGGATATATCCCCTGTCCCCATTCTGCCTCAAAATGTTCATCCTCTTGCCCTTTCCTCAACCTCCATCTAACATTTGCTTTTGTCCCCTGGGCTCAAACTTCAGAATCCAACCCAAACCCTGTGGCAGAATAAACAAGTTTTTCTGGAAACCACTTTCTTTCACTCCCATAAGGTCTTAGTGAAAAAGAGAGACTGATTCATGATAGATCTTGTACTATTTCAAAGAAACATGCTAAGAGGTATGTCTGTTTGCTCAGGAGTAGGGAGGTGAGGAAGAAGAAATCCTATATGTTTCTAAAAAAACTTCTTGGCCAAAGAGGACAGGGATTGCATTGAATAGCAAAAACAACACTTTATGTTACTTGAGTTTTCTACAATGCATATGTTTAGTTTTTATGATCTCTAAGGTATGTATTATGTTTGACAAATGTGGCAACCTGAAAATAGGAAGAGACACAACCCAAAACTTGGAAGCCTTTGGAAGATGTGAAGGAAACTACTTGTAACCAAGAAGCCACTGATAGTGGTTGCAGTGGAGAGAGGCCCAAGCTCCGTCGTGTCTCCTAACCATCAGAGCCACAACCAGGGAACTGATAGCCGAGAAGTCCCCTCCCTGCGCTTTATCAGATGCAGAAGGAGAAGACCATTTCCCTTGCCCATGTGGATGCTTTCATAGCATCCTAAATTCAAATCGTACTGAAAAATCTCTGCTCGTGAACGTAGATGTGTGCTCCTTGAGCTTCACGGGGAGAATATGGCACTTCACTTCCAGTAGAACCAGTCTGCAGCCCTCCCACAGACTAACTTGAGTGCCTTCAAAATGTTATGCAAATATTCCTTTAGCCTTTTTTATGGAGGAGATACTGAGGAAAGGGAAGGGGAGAGCAGAGAAAATACACCCCAGGTGGCTCCATCTACTCCTGCCCTTGGTCCCCTCCCCCAGGGTGCCTCAGGCAACAACAAAACATGAATCCAGCAAGCAGAAGCCCCTTTGTTGCATACTAGTTGAAGGACTACTTGTTAGGGGAACCTTCTCTTTGGAAGGGGCAGCATGAGGGATGGGGAGTGGAGGGTAAGGAAGTGAGGAAAGAGTCCATATCCCACCTACATTACTGCCTTGGGCTGCCATAACAAGATGCCACAGACTGATGACTTCGACAACAGAAATTTGTTTTCTCACAGCTCTTGAGGCTACAAGTCCAAGATCAAAGTGCTGAGAGGGTTGGTTTCTGGCAAGATTTCTTCTTGGCTTGTAGATGGCAACTTCTCACTCTGTTCTTACATGGCCTTTCTTCCGTGTGCAGAAAGAGAGAGAGCTCTTGGTGTCCCTTCCTCTTTTTATAAAGACTGTCCTAACACATTAGGGTCCCACATTTAACCTTAATCACCTCCCCCAAGGCCCTCTCTCTAAATATAGTCACATTGTGGGTTAGGGTTTCAACATATGAATTTAAGGGCATGCAGTTGATTTCATAACACCAACTCAAGCAGCTTATTAAAGTGTTTTTTTGTTGTTTTGTTTTGTTTTGTTTTGTTTTTGTTTTTCTGACTAGTTCCACTCACAGGACTCTCCCTGAGACAAGTCCTCTAAATTCATGTCCTCCTTCATTACAGTTTTAGCGATGTTTTTGTGCCTCTTATATTTGGCACCTAAGACAGATGCCACTGGCTCTCTCCTTCAGCCACTCTGCTACACAAGAATAATAGAGCATTTTAGAGCCAAGCTCAGAGTTTTCAGAGGATGAAAGTAGGTTTGTCTGGACATATGTATTTCTCCAAGTGGTATCTTTCGGTTTGGAACTGTGAATATTTTGACACGGCACCCCACTATCCCTAGACTTCTTAATTCTGTAGGACTAGTAATGCTCTTAATATTACGTGCACAGATTTCAGTGAGTCTGAATATTTGAGACTGCAGGCAAAATGTCATACCTATGTGTGCTTATGGATTTTTCTAGCAACAGAAAGTAAAGCTTTCTTCGGCTTCTCCCAGGTGTCTGTGACTTCACCAAGATTAAAACCAAGTGTTCTTTGTTACTTACAGCAAATGATAGTGCTGATAGAAATGACCTTCTGTTTGCATTTCCCTCTGAACATAAAGTGATGCCTTGATAGGGACAGCATCATTTTTTTCTCCCTATCTGTGACATAGCAGAATGCAAAAATTGATATTTCTATTTATTTCTATAGAGCCATCTAGAATTTTAAAGGAACACTCTGCTGTTAATTTATTTTTGCCTCTCTGTTTTATATACTGCAATCTTCTAGTAGGGTAGGGTGGTCCGCACATGTCTAGAAAAATTAAGGGAAATAACTTTTCAGCCTTATTTCTGGATAAGACTCATGGCAACTCTTCATTTTTACATGGGGTTTTTAACCCACTGAGCCACCTAGGCGCCCCCATTACATGGGGGTTTTAAGGAATTTTTCTAAGCCCCACAAATAAACAGTTCAACGAAGAATTACGAAGGAACCCAAAACTTTAGCAGTGTTGAGGAAATGACAACTGTGTTAATCCTATTAATGGCAATAACTTAAAAAAAAAAAGAGTCAGAATTCTTTCAAGAGAAACTTACTTAAACATCATTGTGAGCAAGGGAATCTGTTAACGATTACTTCTTTTTAAGTTCCAAACTTTAAAATAATAAAATAATTTTCATAAGTAAAATAATTTGTGCAAGATTTCTGGGTGCTCTGTCTAGTTTGGGTTCCCCAGCCCATGCTGACAATAACTTGGCATGGATATCCTTGAGGTGCCCTCAGTTCTCCATCTGCCGTGACTATTCATTCTTGTCTGCTCCTGATGTAATGCCACAGTGAACACACAAATCACGGGGCTTCAAGGGCTCAGAGAACTGTAGGTGAATTGGGACATTATGTAATCAGGCAAACATAATTAGCATCAGAGGAAAAAACATTCTACCCTCGTCAGATGGGGCCGGGAGTCCAGGCGAGGCTCACCGGGCTTTTCTGTAGCTGAGTGTGGTCATTGTAAGCTTAAGCGTTTATTTTATTCTCACACAGCTGTTGGTGTACATGGGCAGCTATTCCTAAGGACAAGAGATCATTCAGAAAACAGTAAATGAACGTTGCACATTTGCAAAGAGGGGTTATTTGGGTCCTCAGATAGGCAAAACTGATTGTTTGATGCTTTCTCTCCAACCGTGGTCTCTTTTCCCTCAGGATGTTGAGAAGTAATCGCATAAGCTGTGTTGGCAATGACAGTTTCATAGGACTGAGTTCTGTGCGTTTGCTTTCTTTGTATGATAATCAAATTACTACCATCGCGCCAGGGGCGTTTGACACTCTCCATTCTTTATCTACTCTGTAAGTATGAAGGCTGATGTTCATTTATGTATGACTGACCCTGTGTATTTATATTTCTTACTTTTATTAATAGCATTTTAATGCATGATTAGGCATTTCACAAAAATGTGATCAAGTATTTACGGATCAACCAAATGTGTTCATGTTAAAGTTACTTTAATTTTTTTCTAAAAATGCTTCCTATACTCTCAAATTAAAATGTAACAAAAATTTAACTGTTTTTTCCATCAACTCTTTTTTTGGAATAAGGTTATATGACTTCATTTGTAAATTTTCACTTTATTATAACTTGATTGCACTGTACATCACAGAAATGTTGTAGATTTTCCCCAGTGTTCTCACATTGGAGTATTTTCAGCTTAAGTATCATAAAAACAGAGCTGATAGGGTTATTGCCAACAAACTGTGCTCAAAAGGCTCATTCACAGTGACAGCACCTGCATTAGGATGACCAGACCAACAATAAAAACTGTGCACTAGAGGGCATTTACTATGCTATTAGGAAAATATTGAAGAAATAGGTTGAGCCTGTCCAAGAGGACATTTTTTGTAGAAAGTTAGAAAATAAAGAATATTTGTAGGTTTGTAGACACTCAGAAGGTGTTGTGTTTTTTTTTTAACCCCCCCCCCGAACAATGTGTTTCAGTTCTCTTATCTGTCAGTATCTAAGAAAGTAAGGTTTGAAACGATAAATCTTACAATGGATTTGATTTCCTAGTAACAATGGCATCTAAATATACTAATCTAAATCAGAAGGTAGTTAGAAAGAAAAAAAAATGTCCAACGTAGCTCAAGTCACTGAAGAAATAATTTGAGGGAAGCATGCATCCATCAGTAAAGTACTTAATCCTCTTTCCACATAAAGTGTGACACTTTACATCGAGTGACTAATTTGTGCATATTAAAGATGGCATGTTTATAAATAATAAGGTTGTCAATAGGTTTGTGCTGAAGTGGTGAGGTGCCAAAAGTATTGAGATTTGTAGAAGTAAATTCATTTTTATAACTGGCATTTAATCAACTCAGCTGTCAGTTTAGATGGGAAGCCTATTCTCTGGAGCAAATAAGAGATGGAAATCCTGAAATGACAAATTAATGAAATATCTGTTGTCAGGTTAAACTCAATAATATAAGGTAATCAGCCTTCATCTTTATATTAAATCACTGCATTATCAGCGGAGGGACGTTTGGCAGCAAGTCAGATTGCTGACGAGTTTAAATCATTTCCAAATGAGATCTCTGTCAGGATCCGCTGCATAAACCCCCAAAATGCTGCCTTTGCTTTCTTTTCCTCATGAAATTTTTTGACGAATTCTCACGTAAAAGTATTGTTATTTTTTTAAGTTCCAAACATACATAGTTGAGCCCCCCCCCCCAAAAAAAATGTATCCCATGGGTTGGGTGTGAGTGAGTATGAATGGGGGAAAGGCATGGAGGTGACAGGGAATACAAAGATTAAGAAGAAATCATTCCAGCAGTAATAGTGTTGGGGGGGGGGCGAAGGTAGCATGGGGTTTTGAGAAGTAAGAAAGTGAAACTCCAAACTCAACCCTGTCTTGCTTGCGTGGGGCTCTTAGAAACCTGTTGGCCAATCCTTTTAACTGCAACTGCTACCTGGCTTGGCTGGGTGAATGGCTCAGGAAGAAAAGAATCGTAACCGGAAATCCTCGCTGTCAGAAGCCATACTTCCTCAAAGAGATCCCCATCCAGGATGTCGCCATCCAAGACTTCACGTGTGACGATGGTAAGAAAGTCTTGCTAAATCTTCGGACACCAGGGGTTCACGGGACTAGTCCTGTGCTGTGGGGCCCAGCTAGAACAGTGTGCCCGACTTCAGGCGACAGATAGTTTTGTGTATTTTTTGCCTTTGTTTTGTTTTGTTCTAGAAACAGGGCACATACTTCCTCAGTCTTGCTTTCCCATCCGCGTCTGCTTGATTTGTGTTTCTGAATGTTTTATTTAAATTTTCCAGTTTCCAGATTGTGGTTGCTGCTGTTTATATAGCTTCATTTTAACTTTATTATTCTAAGCATCTCTTTCAGGAACTGCCATTTTCAAAGGAGAAAAGCAATTGACCTAAAAATATAGGAATTCTAGGAAACCTAACAAAAATAACAGTTTTCACTTTTTAATGCTCTGCATAGATCACCATATTTGATTTCTCGTAAGGTAGCTACCAGGGAATGGAGACCCCCTTTAAGCCTTATGTTTTAAAATGAGTGGCCTGTACGTTTTCTGCTAAACATTTTAAATTAATCTACCCCTTTAGGCCTCTACATGTCTGTGTCCTTATAATTTCTCCATAATTCAGTGTAGATTTACATATTCTCACTACAAGTATAATTTGTATAAATAACTGAACAAAGAAAATGACTGTTATGATTGGAGGGATGATATAAATTTTAAGTTATTTTCTGGAACTCAGCCCTAGGCAATCTGAAAGTGGTGCTCTATCAGACGGATGGCATCCATTTGTAAACACCCCATGTGCTGTATGTACCAAAGTGATCTCGTGGTTCAAGACTCTTGTGTTGGTTAAGCTAAAAGCATAACATCCCTCCTTGCATTCTCAAAGCCACACCTCTGGGTTTTCCTATATTTCTTTTGGCAAATTAGGCAATGATGACAGCAGCTGTTCCCCACTCTCCCGCTGCCCCACGGAATGCTCATGCTTGGATACAGTCGTCCGATGTAGTAACAAAGCCTTGAAGGTCTTGCCCAAAGGAATTCCCAGAGACGTCACTGAACTGTAAGTAGAGCTTGCCTTTCTGTTTCCTTAACAATTAATATTTAATTAATTAAAATTAAATATAATTTAACAATTAATATTAATAGTGGAAACCCAATAAAAATCTCCAGAGTCCCATTTCCAAATTCTATAAGCCATTAAATAGCATCATGTAAAACCCTAAATAGATAATATAAAAACTTTTAGATACACCTGGGAAATGCTGGTTGTGTCTGTTTCTCTCTTATTCACTGTAGGATTTCTCAGCATCTGTATTATGCTAAGGTACACTCTGAAGCTCCAAGAGAGGGTTGTAAAATATAAGATAGCTCTCATACTTGTTTGTCCCTATAGCCCTTTTCTCATGGACCATCTTGCAAGACTCATGTTCCATCAGATACGCCTTGGAAAAAGATGTATATTTAGTCCATCCACAGTATCTGGGATATTCCATATGGTTAATTATTCTTTACCGCTGTGTCCCCTGGGAGAATAACTTCCCACATGGGATACATAAATATCTAGGATGTAGAAGAAACTGGCCTGATCTTTATCCTTAAAAAAGAGGTACTGCCCTTTGGACTTGAATTAGAATCCTTTTCACCATGAAGGGTGTGGAGCCAATTGTCCCTAATATGTTCATATCTGCTATATGACCACAGACTACATGGTCAGTATGTACTCCTCTCAATACCAAGCACCATGCACACTTTCTTAGCTGCCTCATGTTATATATGTGTACTGGAATAAATCCAAGAGCAAGCTGCTTGCATAATATGATACATGCATGCTCCCTTCCATTACGTAATCTGCATACTAATGGACCAGGAACAAATGCTTGGTATGAGTGCAGTTGAGTCATTTTGCCTCTGTTTATTTTTTTCTGTGTGGAACTATGTATCAGAAATGATTTAAGTTCCAATGTAATTTGTGCAGATGTGTCCCTATAATTCATGCCCATGTGTGCAAGCATTCTAAATGAGCAGCTCTGATAAACTTTTGGCAACATGGAACGTAGGTAATGAGTTGCAAGAAGATGTCACTTCCGTTGTCAGAGAACTTATATGCATATCATGTGCAGTTCTAGGAATCCTAATTTGGTCCTGAATTGAACACTTAGGGGAAAAGAAGGTGTTGATCGTGTGATCTTAGCACACATACACAGAAGGTCCCTCTTGGACTGGACTGCTCTGAAGTGTTCAGCTTCTGCTGCCAGTCACAGTTGTTAATTGACTAAGCACTGCTTTGTGTGTGTGTAATTAAATACATAATTCTTATTTTAATAAGTATTTATTTCGAAAGATTACTCTCCACCCAGCTAGACGCCTTCAGAGTATTCCATAGGCAAAGCGTTGATTCTGGGAACACCCCAGCCAAGAACACAGCACTCAGTGTAACCAGATCATCTTTCATGCAGAACCCCTTCTTTCTAACTGGCCCATACCTTAGTGCTTCTCCCGATGCCTATCCAAGAATTTTAAACCTTCTTTAATTTCCTTATTAAACTATATCTGAGAACCTGCTTGATTCACATCCTGTTTATACCATCCATATGTCTCTCCTGTCAGACAGTTGAATCTTCCATCTATTTCTTTACAAAGTACTTACAAAGTAATATTTTTCTAAAGAAATATGTTACAGAGATGAGGAAAAGATTAACTCATCTCTTGTGAATTCTAGTTTTACCTCCCCCAGAGCTTATTCTTAGAATCATACCAAGTCAGCAAGATCCTTCTCTACAATCACGTATATGCGTGTACTAGAAAAATTTCATTGCGTATTATATTAAATTATTAAAGAATTTGGCAAAAATGAGGACATATTAGTGGACAATTTTGAACAAGTGGTATCTATTATTTTTAATCAGTTCCATATAACTTCCCTCTTAGATTGTTTTACGTATAAACATCCATAGTGCACATTCTGAATCCGTTTAGCTTTCTGTTATGACATTTTCCAGAATAAAGGGAGAATACTGAAGTCTATGGGATTATGCTTCCCTCTAGTGGTACCAAGAAATACGTAGGTGGAGGTAAGAAAGGAGTCAAAGAAGAAATACAAAGGCAGAAAATCTGAGCAGGCATAAATTAGAAGTCATAACATATGCCCGCTTCTTAGTCCCTTATTTACTACATATTTTGATGAATTGTACCTTTTATATAACTTTTTTATTTTGAACTATTTGAAATAGATTTTACCTGAGGCAATTTCTCAGCTACTTCTATATCCAGCAAACATACTAATCACCTCAACCTTAGATCTCAAGATGGGCCATGACACCAGGGAGCAGGTGCCCTGTGCCCACTGGACCAGAATCGTTTGTGGGCACATCTGTAGCCAGATAGCCCACATTGCTGAAAGACATTTTACCCTTCATTATCTATATTCTGGGAAAATACAGCCTTGTTTGAGATGGAGTTTATTTTTCTTTTTGTGACATTATGGACAGAAACTAGACTATTCATTTATTTTTATGTCTTGCCAATTAGCCCAGTGTCTATCTATTCTTAGATTATCCTGCTGACTTTAATCACAAAAGAAAACTTCACATATATGTGGTTATGTGATTAGTACTTTTACATGTATATGTTGTATTTGTGCCGCTGATAAAGGTTGTGATTTTCTATAAAACCATGTAAAATTATTATCACAAACCAGATACACAATGGTTAAGAACTATGTTTAGGTCATTTTTAAGTGAAATCTAATTCTCATTCCTAAACATCTCCTTTAAGGCATTGATTGGTATTTACTAAGTGTATGAATACATATTAAGGTAGCGAAGAGTGGTCTTGCCCTCAGTAGCAAGGTTCTGTCAGTAGTAAATGCATTTCATGGTATTGTCCCCATATAAATACAAGCAGACTGAAGGCTGACTGAAAATATGGTCGGTTGAATGAAACTTCTTCTTGACTCACAACTGGTTGGATACATGACTCGCCTCATTACATAAACCACAAAGAACTGGACTCACCAGTCTCTCCTTGGTTTTATAATTTACACTAAGAGATTCCATTCGCAGATAATTCTTCTGGATTGGACCACTATGCTTTTTCTCCTTTACTTCTTTTAAATACCAATCCCAGGTAGAGAAAGCGTGATGTCTTAGAGCTAGAATTCAGAGTGCTTCCCTTGCCTCAGTTAAGGGTGAAATTGTGTCAACTGTTTTGTGCCACACTATTGTTCCTTTAAAAAAAGATAGTATTTTTTCCTTGTTTTTAGGTATCTGGATGGGAACCAATTTACATTAGTGCCTAAGGAGCTCTATAACTACAAACATTTAACACTTATGTAAGTAACATATTGCATTTGTTTCATCTTTGACTTATTCTAGTTCACCAAAGTGGGGGTAGCAAGGGGCAGAAGATTGAGTGCACCTTTCAGATAATATACATCATTTACAGTTAGATGCTTCCCTCCTTCCTTATTGTGGTTTTGGATCACTAGCTTCACCTTCATTGAATATCAGTCAGGCAGTGGCACATCTTAGAGAAAGGACCTCCTCAATTCAATGTACAAATATGGTAAAGTCTAAGTATCAGAGAACTACAGAAACATGGTGAATCCGGATACTTCTACATATAATGAACATGGGCTATTTGATGACAAGCCAGGAAAAGAAAGACAGAAAATAATACCTTTATTTTTCTTGACTTTAAGCAAAAGGTTGTGGATGGTAATAAATTTACTGAAAATGTACTTTACTAGGTCTGATTTTCCTATATGATATGCTCTAAGATATGGACTTCCAGTATTCAAATTTAATTTTATAAAATTCATTTTTAGTTACACAGTAGTTAAGTAAACTTGACAAAGATGCTGACATTCTGAGCATAAATTTCAGACATTGACTTTTTTTTCACTTTGCTTTGATGCCCTTATAAAATAACATCTCTCTTTTTCATCTTTGTAAATGATATTTTACGTGGTAATACAAGATTATCTTTAAATATGCCAACATTTCAATCTAGTTATATGCACAATATTTATAAAGAGATACAATCTTACTGTATATAATGTCACACTTAGAGTAGCCTTGCTGATAATTGATAAAGCTTCTCAAAAACCAAACAAACAAACAAAAATAAGCAACAGGAGTAAATGTAAAGGGAAATACTTTATCTTTAGTTTAAGTCCTATCTGATTTTAGAGTAAATATGACTGGCTGAGGAGACCAATTTCTAGAGTTCCTAGAATAAGGAGGCTGATCCCTAATTAGTGAGTTCTAGAAATATAAGTCACAGAAAATGTTACATTTCTCAATGTAAACTTGGCCCTAGGAAGGTTGTGGTTAGTTAAAACACTGTTAATCATTTTCAGTTTCTCTTAAACATGTAAGAAAATCACTTTGTAGAAAGTATGTAGGACTGTTTAAATGACAAATGATTAAATTAAGAAAGAATATCCCCTAAGATGTCTTGTTCTGCCTCTCATTACGTACTTACTAGCAGCAGGAACTGATTACATACATTTTGTTCTGTTAAATAAACCATTAAATTGCTGCAATTTCCAGAGGGTCACTTCAGCAGAATTGGGTCATTTGTGGGACAGTATGTGATTATTTAAGACCAGTTTGGAAATGAAAAATGAGCATTTGTAGATCCAGAAATGGCTTTACCAATGACTCATTATGCTACTCTAGGCAAGTAACTGCTGCTAATATAGATACACTTATTTATTTCTAAATCCAGAGATAGTACTTCAGCAGCTGAGAAGATGGATCATGAAGCTCCTATGTTGTATAGGTTCATTTTACTGATATTTTGGTCATTTTCATAAAGGAATGGATAATCTTTGGCTTATCTGCATCTTATGTCTATTTATTTATTTATGTATTTATACATTTTGCTTTAGAAAAAAAATAGTGAATATACATACATACGATGATCATCAACTATGACCTATAATTTTTCATTTATTCATAAATCTTCCTTTTATTTATGTATTTAGCATTTAGCGGCAGAGAAAAATCAGTGACTATATACATATCACTGTATGACTATGTATTTATATACTAACTCACTTTTTCCGTTGCAGAATTGCCAGATAAATATATATCATATATCATAGATCATATATATACTAATAGCATATATATTAGTATATATTACAATATTCCATTTTATTACAATATAATTGCAGTTACATTATGTATTATGTATTACATTATATATAGTCACAGGTATATTATATATAATAAAAAGAAGATCAAGTTCACTGAATATAATTACAGCTCATAGTACTAGTTACACTTGGCTATAATGAGCCATTTAACCATTGGTTAAAAAACCCACATCTCTCTTATTTATTTATTAATTAAACAGATATTTATTGAGGACCCGCCTACTGTGTGTCAGTGACTTTGCCAAGGGCAGCATTTTTCATATGTCTTTGCAAATGTAATCAAATGGATGCCCTTAGTTACCAAGTTTGGCTGTGTGTACCAGTGAGCATGTATATCAGGGAAGCTAAAGGATATGCAACCAATGGAAGGTTCGAGAACAAAGGTTCATTTCTCACACGTAAAACGTGTCCATCATGATGGCCTCCCATGTCTTTGTCCTGGGACCAGGACACCGACGCTGACTGTGGACCGTCGCAAGTCCTGCAGAGGAGTGAGCAGAGGGAGATGAGGGAAGAGTGAGCTCACTCTAACTTTCTGTTAAGTGAAGCCTGCAGTGGTGCCTACACTTCCTTCACTGGCTAGAGCAAAACACTGTCACTTCTAAGTTCAACAGGCAGGGGCATGAATAATTATGGCCGTTATAATCTATCTTAGGGGGTCATCCAGGGTTTGGTTATTCTCAGGTAAAAGCTGTGTGCTATATAACAGAGCCACTATGACTGAGTAAGAAGAGCCTTCTCTAAGAATCACTACTATTTCACTTTCTCTGGTAGCAGTACACTCCATTTGTTTCTTTTTTTCTCTTGTAGAGACTTAAGTAACAACCGAATAAGCACCCTTTCTAATCAGAGCTTCAGCAACATGACCCAGCTCCTTACCTTGTGAGTATGAAAATGTGGTCCTGAGTATTTATTAATTCACTGGACAAAATGCATTTTCTAGGCACTTGGACTTTCTCTGTTAACAAGGCAAATAGAGCCTGCCCTCAAAAAATATAAATACTATTGGGAGATATGGACTAAAAAAAAAAAATCACAAAAAACACAAAAAACACAAAACAGAAACAAACCTTAAACAAACAACTATAGATTCCAGAAAAGAAACAAAGAATAATTTATGTTTGTGGTGGGCTTGGGAGAGATCTTTAAGAAGTCCATCAGCTGAGGGAGGGAATAGTTGAGGCATTAGCATCCGCAGGGCAGGAAGCATTCTAGACTACATTTAGAAAGAAATATGTTGTATTACTGAAAATACAAACAGTAACAAAATACTGTACATCAATATTCCCAGTTTATAAAATGCTAAAGCAACCATTTTCTTAACTGTTTTATTTTTAAAATGCCATTTGGCCATTTGGGGATATCTGAGTAAAACAAATCTGCTGTGTTATGCTTTCAGAATTCTCAGTTACAACCGTTTGAGGTGTATTCCTCCTCGAACCTTCGATGGATTGAAGTCTCTCCGATTACTGTAAGCATCTTATGGTCAACAAAGTATCTCTTATCTCAGGCATCTGAGTTTTGGGTTGGCTTTTTTACTGATTTAACTAATTTCAGACATTTTAGGATTTACTACGAATTTGTAGTAAATTTGTACAAATTGCATCTTTTCCTGTATCACTGCTCAACAGCCTTTATCTGAGCAACACCAGGTTGTTGTGGTGGTTATTTATTTGGTAATGGATAATAGTAAGATGTATGTCTTATAGAGATTCATTTAATTTTGAACAAAATACAGGAAATTTAATTTCTTTAAAAGTTACATGATCAATGAATATGCTTTTACTGTTAAAATGTATTTTAAATATATGCAGTGAAACATGATCCCCAATCACAGTCCCCTCCTCCAGAATTAATAAACATTTTTATGTTGTCTTCTGGTCTTTTTATATATGCATTTGTTTTTAGATGCTGATATAGGTATGCCCACAGCTATATACCTTCTAATAAGCATAAATAGGATTTGTTCTTGTTCTCTCATCAGCTAATTTTTATTTAACAATATGCTTTACAGTATTTCCATTCCATCATATAAAAATAGTCCTTAGCTGTTCAACTTGTACAAGACTATTCCATAGGGTGAAGGAACCATAGCTTATAAAATCATCCCCACCTTTAACTATCATGTGGTGGGTTTTGTTTTTTTGGTATTTGGGTTTTTTTTTAGTTGTTTGGTTTTATTGTTGTGTTTTTTAGAGAGGGGGAAAGGCAGAGGGAGAGAATGAATCTTAAGCAGGCTCTGCGTCCAGCACAGAGCCTGAACAGGCTGGATCTCACAATCCTAAGATCACCACCTAAGCTGAAATCAAGAGTGAGACACTTAACCGACTGAGCCACCCATGCACCCCAACGATCATGTGGTTTGAATCCACAGATTGTCACTATTCCATACAGTGCTGGAATGAACATCCTACACATTCTTCTTACTGTCCAGTGTGTTGTGAGGGTACCAAAAGTAACTGTCAAGTTGTCCCCCCAAAACAAGAATTTGTCAGTTTACAAACTTATTTTCCACGATCTCTGTTTTAATAGAGCATGATTACAAATCACTCTGGCAAATATTGAATGGTATTAATTCTTTCATTTTTGTTGTATGACAGAGTACCTATTTTAATGGAGTACCTGTTTCAAAGCACTCTGGCAAATATGGAATAATGTTAATAGTTCTATGACAGATTGAACATTATTTTCCATTCCTGTTTTAATTTGAAATTCTAATAACTGGAGCATTTGTGTTTATTTTATTTTTTTATTGATCACTTGTGTTTTTTATTTCATGGCCTCATCATATCATTTCCAATTTTCTAATCAGTATCTTGTCTTTTCCTTATACATATCTTTATGCGTCTACAACTTGACTCTAACTTTCAGGTCTTTTTACAAAGGAGTTAATCCTTGTATTTCATATGTCTTGTAAATGTTTTCCAATCTGTTCCTTATATATTATCTTTCATTTTATGGATATATTTGGTGTTGTCAAGAATGTATCACTCTTTTCCTTTATGGGTTCTGAGTTTTATATGGTACTTTGAAAACCTTTCCCAGGGTGCCTGGGTGACTCAGTTCATTAAGCATCTGCCTTCAGCTCAGGTCATGATTCCAAGGTCCTGGGATCAAGTTGCACATGGGGTGGGAGGGGTCTCTGCTCATGCGAAGTCTGCTTCTCCCTCCGCCCCTACCCTCTACTTCTGATCTCTCTCTCTTTCTCCCTCAAATAAATAAATAAAATCTTTAAAAAAAAAAAAAAAGAAAAGAAAAGAAAGACTTTCCCATCCTATATTTACAAGATGGACCTCTTCTCTATTTTCTTTTCATATGTTTTTAGTTTTGTTTTTACATTTAACTTTTCAATCTAGAATTGACTTTATGCTAATGATGTGAAGTAGGAACAAATTTTTGGTTGTCCCAAATAGTACCCAGTTACACCAAGACTGTGTATTAAATAGATATTTTCTGTACTGATTTAAAATGCTTATTGTAAACTAAAGTCTTACACATGTGAGAATTTCCTGGACTCTCTAACATATAAGAAATTTAATACTGCCTTTTTTTTTTTTTTTTTTGCTTTTAGTTCATTGCATGGAAATGACATTTCTGTTGTGCCTGAAGGTGCTTTCAATGATCTTTCTGCATTATCACACCTGTGAGTACCTAGTTCATGAATGTGGTTTAGGATCAAACTCACACACTCCTCTGCCACCTCTCCTGTTGTCACAACATGAGATGTGGTTGGCTCTATTTTTATAGAAAATGTGAAGATTTTCATTTCTGATACAGGACCTTCTGCAAGATAGCCTTCGTTTATCCTTTTGGCCCTTACTCTTTGTTAGCTATAATCTTTGCTTAGCTAAAAGTGACTTCTTACAAACACGGCTCTCCAACTTCCTAGCTATGCCTTTTCTCTTAACATTCTCAGATTCTAGAATACCAGCTCCCCTTCAATTCAGTCTGCCCAGACCTTGTATTTTCCAGGTGACATTCTTATGACCTTTATGAAGCTTATCTTGAGTTTCTCAAACTGGATTCATTTATTTAGCAAATATTATTCATCACTGGCTATGGCACCATGGAAAAATAAATTAGAGATGGCTAAAGAACTTTATAGTATGATAGTGGGGAAACTGCCATATAATCATACTGGGTGAATTTTTTTTTTCTTTGTGCTCTGTGTTATAGTAGCCTGTTTATATCTCCTTATTTTTGGAAAGTACAATAAAACAACATAAAAAAACAACATAAAAATACATCATACACTCTTTTGGGTCAAATACTGTTATTCCATTATTTATAGGGCTAGAGTTGAGGCCATGGCAAACCTGGAAGGAAGATCCAGGAACAGATTTAGGATCTAAAACTTTCTTTCTTTTTTTTTAAATTTTTTTCCTATTATGTTATGTTAGTGCCCATAGAGGACTTCATGAGTTTGTGATGCAGTGTTCCGTGATTCATTGTTTGCCTCTAACACCCTTCCCTAAGACTGCCTTAGCTCAGGGCCGGTTTGGTGCCCCCTGGTGGCAAGTGTGCTTCAGATTAAATAGCAGGTGCTATCAGTTGCCTGCCAGCTGCCCAGAAATCTCCTGCCAGATTCTCCCTTGGCTTTGTCCTCTCCTCCAAAACCTACCAAATCCCAAGAAGATACATTTAGACAATTGAGAGTGGGGGATGGGCAGAGGATAGGAGCCAGTAGTCAATCATGCTATATCTGAACATGCTTTATGGGGCTCTGTCAATCACTGTAGGTTTTGTGTACATCTGTCTATCAGACTCCTTAATGCCTACTGTTAATATATCTCTCACTGGGAGAGTGATTTGAAGTATTAAGAAGAAAGTAGTCATTCTGCTCGTGTTCGGGTGATTTATCAGAAAATGCAGCTGAAGGAAGGTGCTACCTGAGCCAAGCCGAACATTTCCTCCAGTGAGCACCCCCCAACAATAGGAGCAGTTTGAACCATCCTTGCCATGTGTCTTGTCTGTCCTGTGTTTCTTTTGTGCATTTGTCTTTGATTCTCTAGATCATAAAGAGCTCTGCTCCGTTCACTTTTTCCACTGTGTCCCTTCACATAGGAAGGACTTAGCAAATGTCAGTAGAGATGACATTAAATGACTCCAAAATATCATTTTGCTCATTTTCAATTTAGAAGAAAAGTTTGAGTCTGAGCATAACATTTACTACACTCCAATTCTTGATTACAGTTTGAAGTGAAAACTGTTAATAATATAAGGTATTAATGTTTTACAAGTATATTTTGGGACTTTCCTCATGACAGAACAGGATGAATTTTGCTTGGACTATAGACCTAGAAGCATTGCTAATCTCAAGTTAATTATAAATCAGAATTAATCCATTTTATTTTTTAGCATTTATATGTATTTTATTTTATTTTTTTAATTTTTTACAAACATATAATATATTATTAGCCCCAGGGGTACAGGTCTGTGAATCGCCAGGTTTACACACTTCACAGCACTCACCATAGCACATACTCTCCCCAATGTCCATAACCACACCACCCTCTCCCTACCCCTCTCCCCCTGGCAACCCTCAGTTTGTTTTCTGAGAGTAAGAGTCTCTTACAGTTTGTCTCCCTCCTGATTCCATCTTGTTTCATTTATTCTTTTCCTACCTCCCAAACCCCCAACATTGCATCTCCACTTCCTCATATCAGGGAGATCATATGATAGCTATCTTTCTCCGATTGACTTATTTCGCTAAGCATAATAGAATTAATCCATTTGAAATGCCACCTTATGCATCTGCTACTTGCGCCAAGCTTGGTAAGTTTACAAAACCCACAGGTTGACTTCTCTGGCCTCAGTTTCTCAATCTCTGTAATGGATTATTAATACTATTGATCTCCTAGAGTTGTTGTTTAGGGTAAAGTGAGGTAATTCATATCAAGTGGCTCAGCACAGTACCTGCATTTTGGTGCAATAAATACCAGGTATCATCTTGATGACTTTTTCTATCATGGCTACTGCTTATGGGAGTGGGAAGCCAAGTTCGAAAATAAAGGACTTTGTAAAGGGACAGACATCTAGTGAAGGTCCACATCCACACTGGTGAACTAGCTCTGTGAGTCTTTATTATTTCATGCCCTTTCTTATCTCAGTGTCTTCACACTTACTGGTCCTTTACCGCGAAACATCCTTCCCAACCTTTTCCACCTCCTTGAATCTGAGGATGAAAAAGCTCAGACTTTTTAACCACCAGTCTCCCAGAAAAGTTACTCTCTCTTCACAGTCACCTCACATAAATTTTTACTGTAGCACTTCTAATGCAAATTATTTGCATGTTTGAGAATGTGTTAATCACCTTCCCAGAAGCAGTTCTTTAGTGTTAAAAATAATGTATTATTTATATTTGCGGCCCCCAACCCTGGCATAGTGATTGGGTCCTCAGTAAATCATTAGTGAATGAAGGCAGTATTAATCTGTGTGTTGGGTATGCTTGTACCAAAAATAAACCTGTCTCTGCAAATACAGGAACAGCTTGTAGAGCCCAGGTAAATTCTAAGGCTAGTGACAACCCCCTAAGTCCCAGCTGCACATAATTCAGGAAAATGGGGAATCCCCGATGTCTCTATTTTCTTCTAAATTGTTATCCATAAATCTATAGGGATTTTCTCCTGAGCGTCACTTTGAGTTATGCTCCTTTAGGAAATAACAATACATCCATGCTGTGTGTGTGTGTGTGCTTCTGTGGTGTTGTTTTCCAGAGCAATTGGAGCCAATCCTCTTTACTGTGATTGTAACATGCAGTGGTTATCGGACTGGGTAAAGTCAGAATACAAAGAACCTGGAATTGCTCGCTGTGCCGGTCCTGGAGAAATGGCAGATAAATTGTTACTCACGACTCCTTCCAAAAAATTTACATGTCAAGGTATGATTTTTAACCATTTAAAGAAAAATTCCCTGTATTAATTTTAAAGGAAAGACATGGCTGCTAGACCTCAAAGGCACAACTGAAAAGCCCTTAATAAATAATGACTAATGACTGCTTGCACAGGACTGAGCAGTTACCAGAGGAGCCCAAGTAAAGAACCAGGCTTTTCAAATAAACTGCAGAAGTAATTAGTTGAAATGTCTAAGATTTCATTAAAATATGTGGCGAAATGAAGAGTACACAATTTCTGGAAATTTCTCTCAGAGCCTCTAACAAGTACAATATTTTGCTTTTGGCTTGTCTGAACGTGTGCCCTGCTCCCAGGGCTGCCAGGGCCCTGTGGCTTCCTGATGCCAGGTAAGGAGAAGCAAGCCTTCCCGAGTGTTCAGGCCAAACCCTCTGACTCACCTCCCATGTTGATGTGAGTGTCTCTTAATTGTTTGTATCCCTTTCTTTTCCCTTTGTTTTATGTATCTGTGGATTCTAAATAATGCCTTAGTAACAAATACTTTCTCTTCTCTTATTACAAGAGTCATCTATGCTTTATATAGAAAATCAAAATAGGAAGATGTTAACAATAACAAACAGTATATGTCTTCAAGAACTAAAATTATACGTCAGTCACAATACCTAGAGATAACCCCTTCTGAACTTGATTTTATTACATTTTATGTATAAAACTAAATCCCAGTATTGTGGAGGTTGAGAAGTATACAGTACAGTCTTGCTTCCCAAGGCTTGCAAACCTAGCTGAAGAGAAACTTCCCACACTTAAACATTTGAGGTAGGAAACCGTCTAAGTAGGTCATAATGTGTACTGGGTCATGGTGTGAGTTTCCGGCTTCCCATTACAATAGTTATATAACCTGAGTTTAATAGCTTAATCAGCCTGTGCCTCTGTTTCCTCATGTGTATGCAAAGATATTGGCAGTACTTATGTGAAAATGTTATTTTTAAGATTAGATAAGTTACTACACGTGAAATTTAAAAAAAAATGGTAAAGAAGATGCTGATGTCACAGAAACAAGAGAATGGTAGATTGCAGGGGTGGAGGGAAGGGGGAAATGGGGAGATATAGGTTAAAGGGCACAGTCTTTGTGATAAGGATAAGTTCCGAGGATCTAATGCCCAACATCGTGAGTGGAGTTAATTACATGGTATTATGCTGGCAAGTTGCTGAGGATAGATGTGAAGGGTTCTCACCACAAGCACACAGAGGTTAACTATATGAGGAGCTAGATACGCCAAATACCTTGATCTTATTAATCATTCCTTAGTGTATGTGTGTATCAAATCACCACATCGTACCCTTTAAGTGTATACAGTTACTGTCAGTTACTCCTCAGTACAGCTGGGGGAAAAGATCAGTGGAATTAATATGTGTAAAACACCTTGCCTTGCACACAGTAAGCACTCAGCAACAATTTTATTATCATAACACTTTAGAACACCAGCAACACAATGATGTAGAACAAGCAATGTTTTACTAATCAAAGAAAGAATTTCCAAAAACCATATTCCCTCCAAGCATTTTTTTTTTAATAGCATCTGAGGCTTTTTCATAGCCGTAAATGGCTGCAAAAGATGTAGTTTGCAGCGCGTTTTAAGTACTGACATTTTGAAACAAAACTTTTCCAGGGACATCTGTGTGGCACAGTCAGTTATGCACCCAACTCTTGATTTTGGCTCAGGTCATGATCTCAGGGTCGTGAACTCAGGGTTGTGAGGTCAAGCCCCAGGTCAGGCGCCCTACTAGGAAAGGATCCTCTTTAGGATTCTCTTTCCACCTCTGCCTCTGCCCCTCACTGCCCTACCACTAAAAATAAAAAAACAAAAACAAAAAACAAAAAACTCTTCTGTTATTCTTCTAAATGTATTTGATGGAATCTAAATATCACAGCTAATTTAACAGAGACAAAAACAAGATTCTCTGTAGATTTCACACTGTTCTTTTACCTTGAACTTCTGTTTTTCTTCTTGAGTTTCTGTTTCCAGTACCTTGGAGAATTGTCTCATTTTTTTGCTCCAAAGGTGTGTGTGTGTGTATGTGTATATATATATATATATATATATATATATATATATATATATTTTGAATTTTTAAAATGTACAAAAATCTTTGAGTTTTGAAATTTTTCTTAAAATTGAATTGCTGTTAATACCCATGCACCATTGCTTGGGATATCATGATTATTTATCAGCATGTTAATGTTTTTATTAAAAATTGAGGGATGCCTGGGTGGCTCAGTGAGTTAAGCGCTTACATTTGGCTCAGGTTATGATCCCAGGGTCCTGGGTGCAAGTCTCAAATCCAGCTTGTTGCTCCTGCATCTCCCTCTGCCTGCCACTTCTGCTTGTGCTCGCTCTCTCTTTCTCTCTCTGACAAATAAGTAAATAAGTAAATAAATAGATAAGATCTTTTTAAAAATTGAAAGTAAAACTTTACTGGAAATGCCTCTCTGGGATTACGTGCATTGATTGCAAGAGGTTTTGCAGATAACTGACATTTTGCGTTATTCTTTTGTAACTGCAGATGTTTCTTTGCGGCAGTGCCCCAAAGTTTCTACTGTGCTGTAAGGCATATCATTGTTTTGGAAAGTGCAGGAGATTGTCAGATGAGAGGCAGGGAAAGAGAATCTGACATTAAAACTTTCTCTTGGGCATCATCATCGGGCAGATGTGTTTTAGAAAGATTGTATGGGCAAATTGAGAAACTGTAGACTGATTTTGTTATATTTCTCTGAACCCAGGGAAACTTGTTTTCTCCTTTCTGAAAAAATGCTGGTGCTTATGTATTTTTCTCAAAGTTTAGAGTTCCCTGGAGATATTTCTTTAAACAATATTTCATGATAATACAAATTTGAGAAAAGCTACATACTTGCATTCGATTCTCTGACAGACATTGTTCACAATCTTTTATTACACATTCTCAGAAGTCCGATACATACACACATACGTAAATGACTTTAACTCAAGATATAGTTAAGTGATCTGACCTTTTTCTTTAAATTAATTTATTTATTTCAGAAAGAGCGATTGAGCATGAGTTGAGGGGAGGAACAGAGGGAGAGGGAGAAGCAGACTCCCCACTGAGCAGGGAGCCCGATGCAGGGCTCGATCCCATGACCTTGAGATCATGACCTGAGCTGAAGACAGATGCTTAACTGACTAAGCCATCTCAGTGCTCTGACATTTTTTTTTTCTTTAATAGCATCTTGTTTAGTTCTTAGTGTGGCTTGAATGGAAATATGCTTGAGAGAATATTAGTCTGGATCAGGGATGCGTGATAAAACTTTCTGCAGTGATAAAAATGTTCTGTATCTGCACAATCAGACATGATAGTCACTGGCCATGTGCGGTTGCTGAAAGGTAGCTAATGCAACAGAGGAAGCGGATTTTTAATTGTATTTAATTTAGATTTAACCTGGAAGTGTCAGGCGCAGCTCCTGGCTCCCATGTTGGATAGTGTGGTTCTACAAAAGCTCAGAGGAAGAAATTGTGTCAGAGGAGAGTGGCAGTGAAAAGCTGAGTGCAGGTGTATCTAAGCCAATCACTGGGACAGGCTGTCCAGCGTGAGGAGTATGCCACAGAAGCAGAGCTGTGTTGCAGGAAAACGCTGGAACTGTGATTCAGTTTAATATCCATGAAGTTCTCATGTCAGCTGGTTGTCTCTATTTCAAGCCATACCATAAACTGGGTAGCAGACCGGTTGGGTGTAGGGTAGGTGACAAGACATGCAGACATGCAGAACTCACCAAATAGAGTCTAATTGCATTTGGCAGACTAATTTTGCTCAGTTTTTCTATACTTAATATATACTTTAATATACTTTTAGAGTGATAGCAAATATTGAAACTCATAATGCCCTTTGCCAGCCTTTCTTGGTATTTGTCAAACTATTGTGAAGCTTCATTGTCTTAAGACTCTGCTAGTTGAAGATTTTTGACAGTTCAGATGGCATCTTTGCCACTACTACGATTACTACTGCTAATAATAGTAAATAATCACTAACAACAGCTTATATCGAGGGTTTGCATTATGCTGAAGATATTACTTATCTTTTGTAATCTTTATATCATTCCTAAAGCAAATACTGTTATTTTCCCATTTGGGAGATGAAAATATAATTCGGAGAGATTAAATCATTTGTTCCGCATCACTCAGCTGCTAAGACAAGGAGCCAGAGTTTTAGACTCACTGACTCCAGTGTTTACCACTGAAATTTACTTTATACTTTTCAGTAAGAATATTCTAAATACAAATCAAAATAAAGAAGAGTGACATTTTTCTATTAGAACATTCTTAGAAAATGAAAATTTTGAACCACTTTCGTATGCTTTGCTAAAAGTATTTATTCATAATAGGTGGGTTGGTAAAAGTCAAAATACTCTAATCTGCTAATTAAAATAATTCACTCTAAGAAATCTACTGAGTACTGAGTTTTTGAGCTAACAGGCCTTATGAGCTTGAAAGCAGTAAAATGACACTTCTTTAAATATTTTATAATTTGAGTTTTTAATATTTTAACTTTTCCCATAGTTATGCCAGTTTAATATGTTTTATTTTATTCATGAAAAGCATATAAGTACATGTTCCTAATATTAATATTTGTAAATATGTAATTTCAAATTACCGCAGGAAGATGAATATCCTTTATTTGAACCCATGTTTATATAGCTATGTATAAATATAATTTAAATGTTTTCTCTGCTAGAAAAGGCTAGGCCATTATTTTAAGTAATATATTCAGTTAACGATTTTTATCCTACATTTTTCAGAGTATTTTCTTTGTGTTAAATATCATAGTTTCAGGGCACAACAGAAATAAATTAACTGGATGAAATAGATTATCAGAGAATATTTAATTAATACCCAGATTAGAACACTCTCGAGTGGGTAGTAAATGGTCACGACTTCTCTTGACAGCCCAAATTTCCAGTCCATCTTTTAACTATCAGGTGATGTTAGAATAATCAAGCAGTCTGTAGGGAAACAGA